GGTGTTCTGTGTTGTTGCTGATGGAGCTCCTCACTGCACATCTACCTGATCCACCATCTTGCTGATCTCCATGGTGTAGAGTTTGATGTTGGTGTAGAGTTAATTAGTCATCTGAGTAGCAGGTCCTTTTGTAAATAAGTAACTTTCCTTCTATTTCAACAAAACTCAAGAAGGATCTAACGGAATTTTCATTTGTACTTACAATAAAATAATAATATAATGCTGCTGGTGGTTATGTGTCATGGATTTAGTTACAACTCATAGTGACCCTGTATATGTTTTTCGAGGCTACAAATCTTCACAGAAGTATAAAAGTGTTATCTTTCTCCCAGGGAATGCCTTGTAGTTTTGAACTGCTGACCTTGAAGTTAGCATCTTGACTTATACCCACTTTCTTTTTGTTATTATTAAGTGTCATCAGGTTAATTCCAAGTCATAGTGACTCTGTAGGTTTTCTGAGGAGCAGCTTGTGAGTTTGAACTGCTGATATTGCAGTTCAAGCTGACCTTGCAGTCCAGTGCATTAGGCCACAGCACCACACTATGCTACCAGAATTGTATGCTAAGTATTTTACAATTGCATAGTTATCTGTCACCAAAACAAACATGTTAGTGGTAATATGTTTTACTATTTATTTTTTGTATTATTATTAAGTGATAGATAGCTGATTTTTCTTTGTCTTTCTCTCAGAAAGAATCTAAAAGAATTAAATGATGTTATAACAAAACTGATGCTAGTAGTCTCTAGTTTTCATAAAAATTAGCTTTCTTAGCACCTGTATCTACAAAAAAGAAATCTCATAAAATAATTGTATCCTGATTGTACTAGAGTAAGTCTAAAAATATTGCTACTAGAATTCCAGTTCATTTGTTCACAAGTTTATTCTAAGTAGAATGTGTTTAAACATGTCTCTGTGATCAATGGATCACTATGATCAATGGCGAACAAGTTATCTAAGTGAAACTTTTTGTGTCATTGATTAAAAACAATTTTAAGTCAAGGATAATAGTCAAATTGTTAACAAAGCTTATATGGAGATCGTCTCAAATCCTTGAAGCATTACAACAAGTTTACTGGAGTACTATTGCTGCTGCTGCTGCTGTTGTTATGTGCCGTTGAGTCAGATTTGACTCATAGCAACCCTATGTGGGGTTTCTAAGGAGGGGATGGTGGGTTTGAACTGCAGATCTTGTGATTAGCTGTCCAGTATTTATCCTACAGCACCACAACAGTACTTCAT